TTAATAAGCTGAAGAGAGCCGTCATTTTTCCCAAGCAAAGTTATCGGAGCAAATCAGATTTAGCTAATAAGTTCGGGCGTAATTTCTCTATAGTGAAGCTATCGAAGCAATAAATGCAAATGTTTTTCCTAATATATCGGAATGGATCGCACTGGACTTCTCATTAAGTAGATGGTCACTGAACTTGAATATAAGGTGCAAATATGTTCTCTTTCATTAAGGTCGCCCATCATGTCCTTCTCATTGTCTACGTTATCAGGCAAAGTTTAAAGAATAGACCAGAGACCAATGCCTCGACATTGAGGCAAAAAAAAAGCAAGCAGAAGTTGTGCCTCCTGGTAACGGAAGCAATTTCAATTAATATTAGATGAATTAACCATTAAATTTTTACCTTTCCATAGTTCTCAGAATACTGCAAATGAAACTCCAGCACTTGGAAATGATTTATGTATTTCGTATTGGCCGCAGAAAATGCAACAGTTTTCGCTAATATCGCAACAAAGTCGTTATCTAAACTTGATTATGTTGTTTATTTTGCAATTATTCTTGGGCTTATCATCCCTGGCGTTCTATACTATCGGATTAACTTATATTGATGATAATTCGAAAGTCTTTGATAGTCCTGCAATGATTGGTATTACTCTGGCTGCTAAATTTTTTGGTTTAGAAAGCGGTTCTTTGCTGACTTTAAGCGTGGATGCGGCAAATCTAGGATGGTGGTTGGGTTGGATTATTATAGCACCTGCAGTCTGTATTAGTGGCATACTTTTGGCTCTATTTCCTAGAAAATTACCGCGTGATGTACATAAACTTGATAGCGGAAATAATGTGGATAACAACAGTGAAAATGAACCAGAATCTATCCCATTTATTGATGATCCAGATTACGGGGCATCAATGAAACGCTTATTTGGCAATAAATTGCTTATGTTTAATGTTGCAAGTCTCATGTTTATAAAAGGGGCAACAATAAATTACGCTTTACAAGAAGAGAAGTATTTGCAGTCAAGATTCTTCTTAGCCTACAGCGAAGAAAACGGTTTAGCACAAGAAATAAGGGCACGTTTCGTATTGCTGTTTGTTAAATCACCGGCGGCAGCGATTAGTATGATTATCGGTGGTTTAATTATATCAAAAATGAAATTAACCTCTAGGTAAGATATTTCTAGAAGGGATAATTAAGAAACAAAAAATAAACAAAAGAAAATAAAATTTTTTTGTTTTTTATAAATTTTTAGGAAAGTTGCTGCTCTGAATATAAGCATGAGTGTAAAATTGTTGATAATATTTATTGCTTTCGTGTTTATAAAATGTAACGTAGGTCCTATAGCCGGCATAACTAACGGTAAACTTCAGCAACCCTATTGCTCGAGACAATGCCTTTGCACTCCCACTACATTTTTTCCGGTCTGTCCAGAAAACTCTACAGTTACTTACTTTTCGCCCTGCTACGCAGGTTGCACTCAAAAGTCCACTATAGGCAGTATAGAGGTAATTAATTATTGATTTTTATTTAATTTTAATCTCTACTATTATGCTTACCAACAACGAGTCCACACGTATACAATTTTTCGATCCACTTCAGTATAGCGGAAACCTATGATAAAAAAATCGTCAAAATAGAGAGAATTGTATGATGAAATAATCGTAAAAGTGATCCGATTCCGTCAATTTTGAATAGTCTTCGCGTCCTTTGATCAATAAATTAAATTTTTTCAAAATATGTGGAAAATGGGTATATGTAGTTTGATGATAAAAGTACATGGGCCTATCTAAGAAAGATAGGCAGTTAGTTGGACAGACATGTGTTAAACAAATCAGAGAGCGATTCTGAGGATTTGAGTCCAGGAAATGCTACTGAATTAGATCGTGTAACAAAGAGTAGGTCTATCTCAAGTCCATCTGGCTATGGCGTATATCTGAATAAAGTTAATATACTTTACCAGAAATGATGCCAGATATGAATATAAAATTTATCACAATCATCTGGCAGAGTTACATTGGCGTCTCGCATCCGCCTGATAAATTTACACTTAATTCAAGAGTTTTCAGTTTTTTAAGGGGCAAGATATTCGAGATTCGCCATAAATTGATTTTTATGGTCGGAAAGGAATGAGGAAAGAGGATGAAAGAAAGAAATGGCGATTATGGTTACGTCTTTACAAACTGACCACTCGCTGTAGCTACAATCAAAGTAAACTCTACCGTACTAATATTTGAACGCGCGACCGCTGACTTGGTAGTCGCGATTCTCGCCTACTCGGCTATTCATGCTGTTAAGATTATTTTCATTACTCTTTAAAGATTTATGAAGGCTGCAGTTGTGGCGGAACCGACAACTATGATATGAATATTGACCATTCGCTGAGGGCAACTGAAGGAGCTTGCAGCGCCGAACGATGTGATAAAATGTTGGTGATCTTTCAAGTATTGAGCGTTTCAATGGCCGTAATATTTGGCATGACAACTATTGGCAAAATTATTATCACCCTGCGTAGCGTCTTGCCACAGGATAAAGGCATAGCATTGGCTGTTGAAATAACTTTCGTCGGCTTATTCGCGTTTATACCTGCTCATCTAGCTTACGATTTAGTAACACGTACGTAAAAGATTCTGATAACTTTAGGTAGAAAAATTTAAAGATTTTATCATCTCTCTCCTTATAGGTACCACTTGCCTATACTGGGCTCCCCATTACGCTCGTTGCTTGTTACATGAGACACCGAAACATGGCAACATTTTAAATATTTTATCGGCTTCTCTTATTGCCATCGGCATTTTATTTGATATTTTGGTTTACTTGTATCTAAAAGGTTTAAATGTTTACAATAATAACGTCACAGACTACAATTACAATTCTTCTCTATACTCAGCCATACCTGTTGCTGAGGAGCGGAGCATTGCAAAAACTGTTACGGCCAGTAGTACTATTAGTCCTACTGCAACTCTATCTACAACTCTATCTGGTACGTCAACAGTGCAACCAGCCGTTCGATCCGAACCAAATCCAGAAATTACAGTTTTCCGTCAAACTAGCTCTGTAACGGATTCCACGACTGGTGATAATAATAGCATCGTAGAAGTTTCATCGTCTGGCGTTACTTACGCTCAGATTGTGTTTCCTTCCAAATCACGTAATTCGGACAAAGATCCCCAACGTTTTGCGGTACGGGCCGATGTACCTTTGCATTATTTAACCATTGATGACGTTCGCTCTCCAATGGACAATCTACAATCCTTCAATCCTAATCGTACGCAAGTTCGGAACAAGGAAAAAGAAATTAATAGCAGCGCAGTTAATAATTCGTTAATTACTGAAAGGAAAAATTCCTCCAAGGCATTGGAAACGGATATCGATGCCATCAGACCTCAAAGTCCCGAGACTGAATTGTAAAAAATATCTCTTAATTAAGATAGCACATAGTCAAAAGTACCGCCTGCCAGTAAAGGGCAGTTTTGTATATTTTTTATATTTTATAAATAAATTCAAAATAAAATTAAACACAAATATGTTGATAAGAAAGAAAAATGTGGAGGGATTTATGCAGAAAATTATAATAGGATAAGGCCGACCCTTAAGTGACCTTGTCGGTTTAGTTTCGTGATAAAATTCCAAAATTTATAGCTTGTTATACCCACCACAAAAGGCTGGGGGAGATACTCATTCTGTCACAAAAGGAAGCTTGAGCGGCCCTCCAAAATACATTTTGATAAGCATAAAATTCTGAATTGATTAAGCCATGTATGTTCGTATGTTTGCCTGCACAGTGTGCGTCGTTTCCACTCTTATCGTCGCAAAAATGAAAATATTGACTTCAAATTCCGTAGGTTCGTAGTGAAAATGGGCCAAAATTAGTAGGGGCATGAGCCTGCAGTGAAGCGTTAACTGAACGCAAGTCCGCTTTTCTAAACAAAAATTTGTGGGTTTTTGCTCATTACAGATCATAAAAGATAGAAGGCTAAATTTTTCGAGATTCATTTTACGAAATACTCGGTAAAAATGGATGAAAATGGAAATGGAAACAGAGGATATATCTTTATGTTGCATACATCCGCAAAAACTTAATATATAGTTTAGGGTATAATAACTATGAATTAATAAAATTCAAAAATTATTTTCGGTGCCTTATCCTATTGGCGATATAAAATATCAAAAAGAACAACTGAATATCGAAGTAACGAAAAAACTTCTGGCAAAAAATGGAAATATTGAATTATCAGAAGCCGCTTAACAAATTTCGTGACATTCAATTATTTATTTGTATTTTCCTTACAATGCAATAAAACTCTAGTTTACATTGTATTTAACTTTAAAACTTTGATATTTCTTTAATAGATTTGAAGTTTTTCACCAACATTTTTTTTTCAAATTTAACATTTTGTTTGTTTATTTACTTACTTCTCTTCCTCTTCTTTGCATTATTTTGTTATATATACAGCAATGATATCACAATAGAGTTGAAATGTAATTCGAAACAAAACCAATGCAGACCCAACGTCCTAAAAAGCAACCGTTTTGTTTTCGCGTTTCGTAGTGTAAGACAGCTCGATAACAAAAACGGTAACCCTATCCCTGATTTCATATAGTAACCAAAAAATTCGAGAAGTATTCTATAAAATCTTTATAAAAACTAAACCTAGTGAACACTTTTCTTAGACTTAATCGACTCTTGATCGTTGGCTTGATGATTGACTTGACGATCAGTTTTTATAGAGTATATTTGGCACACAAACCGAGGTCCTATTGAAAACATATTCAGTTATCAGTTTAAGTGAAGTTTGGATAGCTTATTTGTGATTTTAACAACTGCGCAGGCGAAAGACTAAGGAGATGAATTGATGTCGTATATGCTCACTTTATTAGATATCAGATGAGTTGAAAAAATGGTAAATAATAATTAATAAATAATAATTGATCGAGTTTCCTTCCATATCTTGGCTTATGAGCTTCTTATTTTATTTTACGCTAAATAGCGGACCGCTTATCTGGGCTTAGTAAAAATCGCATCTGCCTATCCATGTTCAATACTAAGTTAGGTTAAGCAAGATTACATCGAAATAGGGATGAAAAAAATTGGTTTTTTATATTCTGTCCCTCTTGTGGTGCGGAATGTATTAGGTTTATACGCTTGCAATATCCAGAATGACTTGAGATAGATCCATTTTTTATTATGCTGAGTTTGTATCTCCGCCGGGCCATGTGTACTTCTGCTCAACCCACAGGTCATAATTTAGGAGTTATTTTAATGAAATTTGTTGCACCGATGTATTTTGGCCCAGGGACAAACGCTGTTTAAAATGCCTCGGATCGGACCGTTTTTTTCTTTCGCTCCGCGTATAACGCTTTGTCTTTCTAAATCGTTAAAGGAAAATATATTGTAATTTTTAGAATTTGACGACAATTATCGGTTAGTATTCGGTTACGATTTCAGCATTGGTCTGAAAAAAATTTGGATTTAATGGAGCAGTTTTCTGACAGCTCTTGACGAATCTTTATAAGGTAAAACTCTTTGATGGCATAAAAATTAACCTTACCGAACTTGGACCTCTTAGGTCTATTTTTTGGAAAATGAAAAATAAGGCTTTATATGCCAAGAAGATCTGATTATTAACATTTTATATTGAAAATTTGTTCTTGATAAATGAATCATATTTGGATCATTGGTTTTGGATCACATAGATCTATTTGTTGGACGGTACCATACACAGGAGTTCTCATGGAAGCAAACCATTCTATGGGCACAAAGTTAAATTTGTAGTTTGGACAGAGGCAACTGAAAAGTACAAAAAACTTTTTTAAGTACACAAGTTTGCTGAATTTAGATCGAATTGCTACATCTAAATATACTCCAGGGCTTTCGTGACAATTACGCAATTTACATAAACATAATGTATACTTTTTGATGTACTATTAAGCAAAATGGTGGAAGGATATCGAATGACCTTACTTGGTTCTTATAATGTTATAGTATTTAGTAAAGAGTCTAGGAGAGATTAGACATCTCTGAGGTTCCTAAAAATGATCTAATGATTATATAACAACACTCATGTGACTTACCCTTGCTTGTTTCCTTAATAATTTGCACTTATTCTAGATAGAAATGTAAGCCCGTAATCGGCTCTAGTTACTTTATATCGATTCAAAAGCTTCGGGATACTACCTCAAGGCTGGCTGTGAATTAAGTCATAACTCAAAGCGAAAGTTATAATAAATAAATTTAACAAATTGTAAAAATTATAATAAAACGATTTTTATTAATTTTGTTACTTTTATATAATAAAATTTTAAAAAATGTTATATAAAATGAAATCATAATAAACATTAGGAAAATGATGAAACTGAGAAAATGGTCTTAATATACGTTTAACATGTAAAAAATTTTTTTAAAAATATAAAAAATTACAAAATTATATATTTAAACTACTCTTTATAGGAAACTGATACACAAATGAAAAACAAAATAAAAAAAAAAATACAAAAAACATATACTTTTTCTTTAAAGACTAGTTAGTGAATTCTTAAATTCCCAAAGGTGCTAATGAATCGATAAGCGTTTAGAAAGTTCTAAAAAAAAAAAAAAATAATAATAATAAATAAATAAAAATAAGATAAACAGTTTATAGCGGTTTTCTGTTTTAGTTTCAGCTTTTTTGTTTTCTCTTTATTTTCATATTTTTAATAATAAATGTTTTAATTAGTTTTCTCCTTTAATTTTTACTGTATTCAATACTTGCTCTTGCACATGATGTAATAATAAATTTTACAGACATTCCTTTATTTGTATATTCAAGATACTGATTACAGTTAACCATAATATATATATATATATACATACATATATATACATATACATATATATATATATATATATATATATGAATTTTATTTGCAAAATATTTTTGTCCTTTCAGTAGACATTGTTTAGATTACTTGACGAAAATGTTACGCTTAAGATTTCTAATAGGTATTTTATATATATATATGTATATGTAAATTTAAATATACTTTACATTTTAAATTTATAGATCAGACGTTCGTTACTTTTTACATTCATTTAATATTTTCTTTCATTTTTATTTATTTATTATTATATTGATGAATGAAATTTTTGATATTCACGTGCATCGTTTTAATCGATTCATTCATTGAGCGTTTTTCATTTCTGTTTTTTTTTTTTTTTTTTTTCTTTTAATATTAGACTAACTTATGGATGAGTCAGAGGAGGAGTTCGTTTAACACTTATCGACTAATATAAACATATAAATTTACATATTAAATTAGGGATTGTATGAATGTGTATAGATTTAAAATTATATATATATATATATATAAGTAAGAGCAAGATAATAATAATAATAATAATAATAAAAGAAATATAATTCAGATACCAGCTAAACTTATTAAACTAAATAATGGAACTTTGAATTTTTGTGGAAGCTGTTTTTTTTTATTTTTATATTATTATTAATTCAATTATTATTAACAACAGCGATTTTCTCTTTCTTTCTTTTTTCATAGATTGTCGTTTAGTTTTCATTTCTATAAAATTTAGAGTAAAAACATTTGTAAAAATTTCCCTTTATTAAATCATGACGTTTTTATTATACAAATTTTAGTTTTCAAATTTTATTTAAAAACAAACAAAAAGAAAATTATATTCACCTGAGGCGAACTTTTGATACCCATAGCCATGCCATATATAAATGTCGTTTTCATTTTTGTTCAAAATTTTTGCCCAATCAAAGGGAATAATTTAGCGGAAGGACTGACACTAAAGCAACAAAGTCGAAAATGTTTCCCGTAAATTCAATTTTAACAAGTGGCAGAATCTACGGACGAGCACAAACAAATCGACGTCGAGTCTTAAGCTGCTTTAGAAGGCTTAGAGAAGATCCTCCTCTAACTTGGTTCGGTTACGGTTATGGATATTATCATTGTCAATTATTTTTTTTCAATACCTTGAAATAGTCTTTAATGTTTTTTTTGTTTACGTATTTTATATAAAGCTTAAAGATTTTTAATAATAAAAAATATTATTAAAATGAAATAAAAATAAAATTATAAACAATTTGAAACAATATTTTCTTTTATTATTATTAAAGATTTTTTTCAAAGACTTGAAAACATTAAAATATAACAACAGGTTAATTAAAGATTAATGAGTTTCTCTCGCCCTTGGGAAAAAGCTATGAAAAACGTAACATTAACATAGTTTGAATTATGCAGCCTACTGTACATCTTGCCACGCATATCTTTTCATTTCTTTTTCTCTCTAAGCAATGTTTCTTCTCTAAACGTGGAAGGATATTCAAGGCGAAAGTATTAATAAGTTGATAGGACGCACATTTAGCATAAAGTCTTACGAAAAACGAGAAAAGTGAAAAAACTCTGGGTTCACTGCATTTCGTTTTTTATCTCTAAAAAAATAATACTTTTATAGAGCAGAAGCTTCTTAGTTTCTCTTCTTACTGGTCATCTTTGAAACTGCCCCTTTCACCATTTTGCATTCCATATAGAGTCTTCCTACGATCTTGGAGATGTGACTTAATTTTTCTTATTCCCAGAACGCAATTGAGGAGAAATGTCTTTATCTAACATTTATTATTCAGCATTCGAGCTCAAAAGCGTACAGAAGATGTCCGAAGTGCAACTATACAATTGTGAAGGGATGTTAATAATCAGTGAGCGCCGACTGGATTTCGGTCTAGAATAACGTCCACAGGATTAGAAGAAAAATGCAAAAGTGTATAGAGAGCGTCTACCGAATATTTTTGAGAGATTTATTAGTTGCTGAACAAGGCTTGGTTGTTAAATTTTGAGCGACAAATTTCACTTCCCTTCATTCTTAGCTTTGGTTTGCAATGCGAAAGTATAAAAGGAAGTGGCAGTTGAAGGAACTTTAGCCATTGCATGACAATTTTGTCGAATTGTCAGCCGATTGAAACCGCTGGACGAATAATCTTTACAGCTTTTTGTTTGAAGAGAATATGCGAGAGGATAAAGGGGCTTCGCTTCTATTTCTATCTAAGCTAAGAGACAATATACTCATCCCGCAAGTACTAAATAAGCCAACTACTTGCTGAACAGGTCTAGCTACTAAATTTAGCAGAGAAAAAAGCCGTTTTATTTATGATGTTTTAAGCAAGGGAACGATAATAAATTTATAGTGCTGTAGTAAAACACCATCGCAGTTGTAAATTTATGAAAAAGAAAAAATTTTTTTTTCTTTTCGTTCTTACGCGAGATCTTCAAGATTTGCTCGGTTCTAAATGCAGGCAAAAAGAGAACTCTTCAAACCTATTCAAGCGTTTGGAAATGTTTACCTTCTTTACAATGGACTGCGAAGAATGTGATTGTCTCTGACCCAGCTTTTTAAGGATTGACAATTAATCTCCCACATTTTAAAGATTTGGACAAGTGATTTCAAGATTTCATTGACCCAAGAGCCAAGCCAATAAGTCATAATTCATTCTAGTCAAAGATTTAGCAAAGTCTTTGACTTTACAAGCCAAGAATTCATTTTCCAAGTTTGAACAATCTGAGAAGTTTTTAATAGAAAGAAGAAAACTGAGAGAAAGAAAGGGAAAGAGAAAGGACAGAAAGAAATATCCAATCTTTAGTCAGTGATAATGTGGAAAGCATTTCAGCTTTAAGTGATTCAAGCTTAATTCTTGAGTAGTGATAGATGAAAAGGTTCTTTTCTTAAACTTCTCGTTCCGTCGTTTGATTTACAAACAGATTAACAGTCCTTAGACAATTGGAGTCTCTGTAGGACTTATAAGACGGGTATACACACATACACACACAAATTTTACTTTTTCATTATTTATATATCATATAGTGGAACTTTATTTAAGATTTCTTTCTTTTCAGCTATAAATTTATTAAATCTGTACTTAATGAGGTTTGGGTTTTGTTTTTTGTTTTCTTTTTTTAACTTAAAAACTAGAGAAAAAATCTATTGATATTATATATAACACACTTAGATAAGTGAAAGTATTAAAAAAAAAAAAAAAAAAAAAAAAAAAAAAAAAAAAAAAAAAAAAAACAGTATAAATATAATCATAAGAATAATAAAAGAAAAAGTCTTTGAAAAAAATCTTACAACAGATTTTTTCTTTTATAAATAGAAAATAAAAAAAGTATTTATAAAAAACAAAGATATTAAAGAGAAAATAATTACATTGTAGCACTTTACGTGTCTGAAAGGGTCTTTATTATATGGTACTGGTTACTATTTATTATTAATTTTATTATTTGTTCTTTTTTTTTATATATGTAGATATGACTATTATATATTTACAAAGAGTTTTTATAATTTTATAAATTTAGTTTTCAAGAATTTCTTTACAAAAATACAGTTTAAAAATGATAGAATTTTTTTTTGCGTTAATATTTTATTTCTTTATTTCTTTTTTTTTGTTGTCATTTATATATCATTTTTTGACTTGATTGTGTGTATAAGTGTTTTATGACATTCTTTTATTGCCTTTTTCCAGGTGAATATTATTTGTGTTTCATTTCGTTTTTTTTTATATATAATTTTATTTATATTTATTTATTTATTTATTTTTTACTAAGAAAGTCAATGCAGAGCAAATTATCACAATATTTTTCTTTCTGCTTTTGTTTTGTTTTTTTTTTTTGTTGTTTTCTTTTTTGTTTTTTTTTTTTGTCAGCAATTTGTAAAAAGAAAAAATTTCAAATAAAATTCAAATGAAAAACAATTTTTTGGCTTCTGTGGCAGAAATCTAATTTTAAAATAAGATCATCTTGGAAAAATCTAAATACTTCTGAAAAAGTACATTAATTTTTTATTTTTTATATCAATCATATTTTTATAGATTTCTCTCTCATATTAGAAAAAAGAATTTTTTTTCTTAAATTTATACACATCTTTCTCTCTTTTTTCTCATTTTATTAAATTTCTTTTTTGTTTTTTTTTTCTTTTTTTTTTTAATATTTATAAATGTGAAGGAAAAAACTACAATTTAAAATTTTTCTTTTTGATTTTTATACGTTCTTCTAATCAAAATTTATCAAGTTTGAGAGCAAGGGGCAGAAATAAATTGTTATATATACAGGGCTTGGGAATTTTTTGACTGCAACTTAAGGTTATATCACAAATGAAACGCGTCGCGCAGTCACTAAATGATTCAGTTTTTAGGTCAAAGTATTTAACGTTTTTTTTTTACACAGCAATGAACAGTTTTGAACTCTTCAAGAGTCCAACTTAATGGTTCTTTTGTTTACTTGAAAAAAAAGAAAATTAAAAGAAAAAGCAAACATTTGTTCCAAAAGTGAAAAATAAATAAAAATTTGTACTATTTTGAAAAATGTATGAACAAATTTGGAAGAAGAGCGAGAAAATATCATTGGACAAAGAAAAGTGAACGATTTTTTCCCCGGACGAAATGAAACGACGTTATACAGAACTATGAGTCGCGGTTCTCTTTGATTCTTTGCTATTCTTGCTATTCATCTTGATTCACATTTTCTTTCTTTTTTTTTTTAACCAACACCGGAAGCAGCCCTTCGGCTATTACCTCAAAAAAAAAAAAAAGAGTTAATCGGCGGTGCTTTAATGTTGCTTTACTTTGCTTTGCTTATGAAGGAAAAAGTTTTATTTTAAGTTTGTTTCAACAAAATTTACTCTTCTTTCGTTTACATATTTGTGTGACTTGTTATTATTCTCTTTTGCTTGTCTTTACTTTCCCCATTATCATTGGTTTATATATTTTTTTATTTTGCTTGATGCACACAAACAAAAGATAATTAAAATCTTTTCACTAAACTTTTTATGCTCTTGTTTTTGTTTTCAAATTTATTGCTCTTTAAATACTCTAACGTCCATTCACTCACATCCTTTCTGTTCTTTAAGCTTTGGGTTTGTGTGTGTAGTATATTTAGTTGGTTTCTTTTAAAAAAACACCTACAATTCTCTGTAGAATTTGTTTGTAATCAATTTACAAAATATATTAAAAAAAAAAAAAAAAACTTAAGACATCGGGCCATTGGTGTTGCCTGCTGTTACCACCGAGCCTGTTGCGGTTCCGTTACTAGCATTATTGGCCTCACTTGTATTATTTGCATTATTTGATTGGCCACTGTTTGCTATATTTTGATTCTCAGCTACTGGTGCTGCGGCTGCGGTTGGAGTAGCTGAGCCACTACCTTCGGCAGTGGCTGCTGAACCATTGCTGTTGCTAATATTGTTTGGGGCGACTTGATTATTAGCATTTGATGCATTGTTTGCAGCCACATTCTGTGCTGTAACTGTTGCTGGTGTTCCTGCTGCCGCTGCCACCGCAGCCGCTGTGGATGGTGGTGGTTGTGGTGGTGCTGTTATCATATTATTGCCGGCTGTTTGTCCACTGCCTGCAATCTGCAATTGTGTTTGCATCTGCAATTGTTGTAATGTCTCCTGTGATATATTTGCCTTCAATAAGGTATTCTCAACTTCCAATTGATTAATTTTATCCATAAGTTCCGAAATTTTCTCTTTCAATACCTCAACCTCCTCACGTACAGCTATCATCAAATGGGATTTAACGAGATCCTGAAAATAATCCAATGAACGATGGTTTATATTTAGTTTCACTTTGCTATTTTAAGGATGAAATACACGTATCAAACTCTTTGGATCTAACTCTTCAAAAAAGAGTAAAAATTTGATAACAAATTATTTATTAAAAAATTTCTCAACAAAAATATGCAAATCTTATGGCTTTGGCTGCACTGTTAATAATATTTATTATGGTTTATACGTTACGTATATGAAAATAATGTAAAAAAACAAACATCGCTGCTAGAATTTCACTATTCTGCTGTATTTTCTCCCATCAACATTAACAGAGCTGTAAATAAATGTTGAGAGTTCTTGTACGACATCTGCAGAGCATCATAGTTCTTTGCAGAATGTTATCAGTTTAACACCGGACGAAAATTAGTTTGGGTAGATATATTATAATTAATATTTTGAACGGAAATATTTAATAATATATGAAATGAAATATTTAATAATATAGGAAATTTAAAGATAAGGAAAACGCTAAAGGAATCTATCAACCTCATTGACCTGCAAACTTTGGACAAGAACCAAGAATCGTACAGAAAATGATTTACAAGAATTCGCCTTTGCGTTCTGCTAAATTTGTTTCTAAAAGACTATCAGAAATCGAAAAACTTCTCCGCCATACACCAAACAGAGAGAGAGAGTAAGAGAAGAAAAAGATTTTACAGATTTTAAACTTCTCCTGGTGATTATGATGATGATACTCACTGTCATAATATACTAATAAATTCCCTTAATATTTATATAGATTCGACTGCTGAACTTGGTAAAGATTTAATAATGGATAGACGACAAACAAAACTAACAATCAACCATTCAATGCCTAACGTTAAGCGAGGCTTTTGTCCACTTTCGTCATTTGTTCTTCATATTTACACTACAGAGAGCCAACAACCACAAGCCAGCCAAGCACAAAACATGTAACACATGATGTAAATCTATGCAAGCTTGAAGCTTGAGTAAGCACTTTAAATAATATGCCAACAAAGTGTACATGGTTATAAGTAGATTATAGCTAGCGTGTTATTTTTCAATAGAATACAAAAAAAAAAAGCAAAAAAAAAAAGGTAAACACGAAAGAACGCAAGTGACATCAACTCACTCAATGTGTTTGCGTGAAATGCAAATGATATATAATTTCAATGTCAATGCCTTTTTTCACATGTTAATTAAAGTGAATTTAAAGGTCTCTAGTAAAGTGAAAAGAATGGGTTTTTTTTTCTTTTTGTTGATTGTTTATATGATTTTCTAATAAAAATGAATACATAAAGAAACGAAAAACTCGATGGTGATTTCATGTTCTCTTAGATGTAAAAAAAGAATTTTTTTTTCCTCTTTACCCACCACCCAACACTGAGAAAATATTGATTTTCTTTTTTCACAATCTTTACAATATTTGACAGGAAGTATCGCAGGATCCCATAGTCAATACTAAACTTTGAATCAGCCCTTGTCAGTAGTGTAAATTCTACATATATTAAAGGTTTTTGTTCATTGCTCATATAAAGCGATATAAAAAGCTTAACGGATGATCATAGCGGACTTGTAGCAAAATGGAACCATTCAACACGCCCTTCAAATCCAAATTTCCTTTTTTTTTTCTAAGGTAAAAGTAATGGGTATAAAAGTCCGTTAATTGTGTATGTTAGAGTGTGCAAAGAGAGGGGGGTGAGGTAGATATATGAAAATTATTATCCATATAATATGATAGATAAAAGCTTAGCCGAAGCTTTATTTAAAAGGTATGTGTAAGTAAGTAACTCAGCACAACATGCATATATAGTTTTTTATCAATACAGTGAATCGAAAATTCTATGAATCATCATGAGACTTGAAAAAAAAAAAAACAATGTGATAGTGTTTTGCTTCTTTTGTTTTATTATACAACGAACAATGAAAGACTCGTTCATATTGACACAAGTGTTACGACTTTGAGAATGCGAATACTACTATGATAATATCAGGAGATATGCAAAACTATTTTAATGATTTTTAATGAAATATTTTAAGGATTTGCCCGCCTTCTTAAAGAGTTTGCATAAATTATTTCTAATATTTGTTTATGAGAATTGCGTGTTTTTAATATTGGAGGATTTTTTTCAAATCTCTCGATTCATTCATATGACAAGATATCTTTTTATTATCGTAATTTTATTTATTATGTAATGAAATGTTTAGTAGGTTTGCTGAAGCGAATTTCCTTTCTGTTCTGTGCTTGTCTTCACATCCTTCTTAGAGAACATGAAAGAAAAAGCTTTCCTCATTGTCTTTCCCTATTGTTTTAGCGCGTAGGTATGTCATATAGCAGCAATCATAAGCGCCGGAGGCATTGAGAAACGAAGGGGGATCTCGTTGAAATTTCTTTCTTGCCTTGTATATAAAATAATTTTCTAAAATTTCATTGAACATAATAGTCATGAGCTTCACGCAGTGAAACAGCCATAAGGTCAATCAATTATCATCACATCACAAGCGTATGCACAAAAAAACACTTGAAACTTTCACCTTTAATTGTTTATTGTCATACAATTAAATTATGAATATTTTAGGCGCAGCAAACCTCGGTGACCAATGATAATAGAATTTTTATAGAACAATGAAAAAAAGTCATGATGACTGACTTATAATGAATTTTGAATACCTATCCATCTACGTTTTTCGTTTAGCAAGGACGAGTTGGCTAACTAAACCGAGGACACTTGCCCACCGTATCTAAAAGCAAGTATTTGTGGAAAATTTTTCATATTACTCGCGATTGCAGGTCGAACACCTCAGTTGCTGCGGCTGTGCCTCTTGAAAAATAAGGTCCTCGCTAAATATCTATACATGTATATGTCTATATGTATATGTTTATATGTATGAACGTATGTGTGTATGTGCATATATATATATATTATAGATTTTTGGCGACTTTCGCAATCGAAATAAGAGGTGATTAACAGTTGCACAAGCCTGCCAATCTTAGAGCTCCTACATTTATGGATGGCTCAAGGCATCACAATCCTGTTATATTCAATCGATGTTGTAAAGTTTTTGTATCTGTGCATTCAAGCTTTCCATCTAAAAACTTTGCTTTTTTGAGAATTACAACAACAATGAACGGAAGGATGGGATGAAATAGATGGATCGCAATATTTATCAAGAAATATCAATTTTTTTTGATATCCCAGAGTCCGTAACGTACAAACCTAACGATACAATTAATGTATTATATTATGGCATTTGCAAGAATTCTCAAAAATAGGTTGTATATAAAATATTAAAAAAAAAAGAAAAAAAAGAATAGAAATTTCTTTCTTAATTGAAACAGATATTTTTAGATTTTTTATATTGTAAATATAGAGAGTACACTTCTTCTTCTTTATTAAAATAGCAGCAATAACAGTAAATATGATTTGATTTTATTTTTATAACAAAACGTTTTCTTTGTTTTTCCAACTAGCAGACAATAATCACGAAATAGAGAGGCAAATGACCTTTTGTTTCTTTGCCTCGCTAGAATACAAGGACAAAATTCTAAAGATAAATAACATTGACCAACGCGACAAGTGATAAGTAGTAAAGAAGTTCGTCAGAGCAACCGAACAGTCGAGGCGCGTTTGAACCACAATAATTCAAGAAATTTCCAATGACTTGTGTAATGATAGCTTAAAAGAAAAAATTTGAATTAAAATTCCTTGCATAACCATAGAAGCGAACCTATAGTTTTGATAAGATTTTGAAGTTTGCTTTGATCCGAAAATAGGTTGTTTCGATTTTATTGTTTTCGATTTACTAAAACTTTCTGTTTATTAGGCTAACACAAACATATTTTGTATGGTCATTAGTCACAAGCAATTTTTGTTTTTTTTTTTTTGTTTTTATGGCTAATTGTATTTATTAAAAAAAAAATATTTGGAGAATTTTAGTGCGATTATTCAATTTGTATTGAATTTGATAAAAAAAACTATGATAGGAAAACACGTAGGTGGAAGAAGTGTGTGACAAAGCTTATTAGGATTAATTTCTTTCTTGATTTGAAAATCATAAGAAACAGATAAGGTTACGTATTAGCCTGAGCTGCAATTTTTACTTATCACTAGTCCCAATACTAGTATACTTCAAGACATTCCGAATTCTAAAAGTTACCTCGTTGAGTATAAGAAGGGTGAGGGAGGGGATCCACATAAATATTGTCATTTCGTTTCTTAAACTTACAACATTTTAATTAGAAGACAACTGAGATATTTGAATGTAGAGTTACTATAGGTAAGGCAGTATGTCAAGTTGCGAAAAGTCGAAACTTTTCACACACTTTTCACACTTTGGAAAGGCCTGTTGCGTAAATAGCGTATGTATTGAGCAAAATTCTGTAAATTTCATATATACTGTGTCTAAAATGGTTGCAATCAATGCATTGATACTTTTCGATTTCAGGTAAGTGATTCTGGATCGATTTGTATAATGGAAAGCCGGATTAGTCTCACGTGCTTTTAGGTGTTGTATACCGCCGCACAAACTTAATATGCTCTTGTACACTCCAGTCGGTGTAAGGGTATAACTATCCAATTAGCATTGGAAGAAATGAAATAGCTAAGCAAATTCTGATCTCTAAGGGATTTCTGTTGATTCTGCATAGCTGCTTTCATTAGATCATCTAATGTATTCAAGTATTCAATACTCGTTTAAAAAGCCGCCTGCAATCTTTTTCTTGTACTTGTAAGCAAAGACAAATACGAAAAATTCAAAACAAAAGAAGAGAATGACAAAAAAATAAAAGAAATGATGGAAATTATGAACTTTACTACAAAGGACGAACAATGAACTTTTTGTATAGATATTATATGTGGAAAAACAACTTTGTGTTCGAATTGAAAAAGAAGACGAAGAAAAAACATCATCAACAACATCAACATCATTAGATAGTCGGACGACAGTGAAAGAGAAGCCAAGCCCTTTCTTGGCGACGTACATAATAGAATTTGGGAAAGAAATATGTAAGCAAT